TGGTATTCCCAAGCGGTCACCTATCTAGGTACTGACCAAGTTTGACGTTGCTTAACTTCGGTGATCGTACGGGAATCAGTATTTCAACCTGATATGGCCGTTAGCCTTTGAGATATAGTGTGAACTTCAGACCTGATAGGCGCCCAAGTGACGCATTAATAGTACAACTTTTCATCGCAACTGGAGAAAACAAAGTCTGAATGGTCATGTTTAAATGGTACTAGCTTGGTTTTAAGATATTCAAAATTACTAGTCATTTTAACATTTTGTTGACTCTGCCCTGATTGATTATCAAGTTATGTATTGCGTGAACTTTAGTATTAAAAATGTTTTAGTTTCCCATTGAGCTGTCAGAGCTTGGTCAGATCAACTGCAATATTTGGTTAAAGTTGTTAAGCCCAAATATTTAACGATGCGACAGGGGATTTTCTACGGATATTGTCGAAGAACTCGCCATGAGCTTATTAAATCTTTAACTTAAGAATTAAGATTCATCTGAAAATTTAAATAGGAAAACCGTGAAATTTTCATGGGTCTTTCTAGTTTTTATAATTCTCATTTTCTACTACTTTCTTTCCCTTTCATATCACACACCTTATTCAGTTTTAACATTTTGTTGACTGTGACCCTCTACATTGAGTGACTTTCAAGCCTTGTATTGCGTGAACTTTAGTATTAAAAATGTTTTAGTTTCCCCATTGAGCTATCAGAGTTTGATCAGAGGAGGGATCAGCGGCAAAGCTCCAATCATTGTTTTTGAGGAGTACGCCCATAAATACTTTAAAAAAAAATCATTTATTTTTACGAATATCTTTCGGAAAGCAATACAGTTTTGATCGAAATGGGATGTCGCAGGTTTTGAGTAATTTTGAACTTGGAATACAAGGCACGTGAGAGCAAGGATGATTATGTTGGAACCTTCCAGAATCAATTAGACACACTGTCATCTTGATTACATCATTTATATTTGATTGCAACCTAAATCGACAGTTTAGTAGCATTGAAGAATATTGACGGAGAACGCTTGGTAAATAGTAATATCTAATATCCAACAGTGCTTCACCTAAGGTTTTCAATCACATGAAGACGTCGCTTGAATGTTCTCTAGATATTTGTTGGGAGTAAATTATAACTCCTAGAAAGGTATGAATGTATTTACGCAAAGGAGAAATATTTTCAAAGATCATAGTAGGTACAGTAGATTTCGTTTAAACAGAATATTGGTTACAAGATGGAACAGCCGCTTACTAGGAATATTAGTACAAAGCCGAATCAAATGCATGAAATATTTGTCTTTTTTATTAAAAAAAAAAAACGTTTAAAAGAGGTGGTCGCTTACAGAGACCAAAATTAGTGTATTTTGCTTAAGAGGAATAGACTGAATTTACTAAGATTGATGCAGTGTGGCACAAAACTCAAGCAGTAAGGCAAAAAAGATCCAACGGTAAGGCACAAAACTAGAACAATATGACACAAAGCTCCAACGGCAAGGCACAAAGCTTCAACAGTATGGCACAAAGCTTCAACAGTATTCAAACAGTATAGACACACAATAAGGTTAGCTGCAAGTAAGGCACAAAGTTGTAAAAATAAGGCAGAAAGCTGCAACGGCAAGGCACAAAGCTAGAATATTAAGGCATAGAGTTTCAGCAGTAAGGCACAAATATCCAACGGTAAGGCACATGGCTGGAACAGTAAAGTATTAACCCACAATGGTAAGGCACTAATATAGAATGGTAAAGTACAAGGCTTCAGCAATAACACACAAAGTGCTAACAGTAAGACATAAAGCTGCAGCATTTAGGTACAACGCTAGAATAGAAAGTAACAAATCTCCAACGGTAAGGCTAACAGCAAATCACTAATAGTAACGTACAAAGCTAGTAGAGTAAGGCAAAAAGTACCAACTGTAAGGCAGAAAGTTTCAACGGTACGGCACAAGGCATCAACAGTAATGCACTAACAGTAATGCACAACATTAGAGCTCTAACGGTAAGGCAGGAATTTAGTGTTGCAAGATACTCGGCTTCAGCAGTAAGGCACAAAGTTCCAACGGTAAGGCACAAGACTAAACTAGTAAGATACAAATCTTCAAATGCAAGGCATGAAGCTATAGCACTAAAGCACAAAGCTCAAACGGCAAGGCTAGAGAAGTAGGACACAAGGTTCCAACGGTAAGGCACAAGGTTGAAACGGTAAAGCTAAAAGCTGTAACGGTAAGATACATATCTAGAATAGTAAGATACAAAGCTTCAACAAAGTAAAGTAAAGTAAAGTTCTAGCAGCTAGAACGGCTAGGCACAAATCTCCAACAGTAAGGTGTGGAGCAGTAAAATACAAAGTTATAACAGTACGGTACAAAGTTAAAGAAGTAAAGTTCAAGACTTCAACAGTAAGGCACAAAGCTATAAAAATAAGGCATAAGGCTCCATCGGCAAGTTGCTAGGCTAGAATTGCTAGACAGAAAGTTCCAATATGAAGGAACAATTCTAGTAGTAAATCACAATGCCCCAACGGTAAGGTGTCAACAGTAAGACACAATAGTAGAAAAGTAATACACAACTCTCAGGCAATAATGTCTGACAGCAAGACACAAAGGTAGAACTGTAAGCCACAATGGTCTAAAAGTAACTACAATTTCCACTAGTAAATTCCTGCAATTAGAGACAAAGGCATGAGTAAGATTAGAATTCACTTTTAAAATGTTTCTTGGAACTGTTGAGTGCGAAATAATGATAACTCCCTTCACCCACTTCCTTCAAATTCGGAGGACCGAGAAAAAAGACGGAAAGGAATTCGCGAGCCGATGTGAAATTTTCTCGAGACCAAGGAAAAACTTGTTTTCACAGAGATTGACCGGCGAGCTGAGAAGGCAGAAATATATTCGCGAGTCTGTGTGAAGTTGCTTTTGGACCAACGAAAACGTTGTCTCCACAGTCGAAAGAAAAGAAAGTAGCGAGCCTATGCGAAATTCTTTTTGATATAAAATGAGGAGAAAAACTAAATTAATAAGAGAAGAATGTCTGAGGTCATGGACAAGGTTTCGTTTCTGTTCACCGCATCCATCGTTGAAGTTTTCGCCATTGTAAACTTACCGCCAATTATGTTATCGGCCTTAACCATGCATGGAGCACTTCAAAGAACTTCATTTTAACAATCCAAGAAAACTATTTCAAATTCTCTTCGTCTATTTTTAATGTATGCAACCGTGTATCCTTTCTGTGAGCTACGAACTCTCTTACCTTTGTCTTAGATATTTTTTAATATTATTTTGTGAGATCATTTAATCTGTTGTATGAACATTTCCTCTTCATGACAATTCGTTAAAATTATGGACTGATTTATTTTCCTGGAACGTGCTACTGACAACTTCAAGTGTGTAAATTCGTAAATGAATTCCTTATCTTGTTTTGCTAAAATTACCCGTGTGTTTCCTCATCATTATCATCCTTTAATCTTAGCGTGGGTAAATCAACTGTTCATTTACCCACGAAGACCCACCCCACTATAAAACGAGGTGGTTTACTACCAATGGCGATTTTCTCTTCATGCGATTGTTACTTTTGTGGAAAATAATAAGAAATGAAAAAGAAACAATTTTGTAATTATCTTGCAAATTTGTTTATTGGATAAAAACATACAAAAAGGAGGTTATAATAGAACTCTCGTTAAAAAGATGAGTCAGTCCGCGTTTCACGTAAGATGTTGTTGTTGTTGTTGTTGATTTTTTAGTGATGATGTTGAGTACCTGGAAATTACAAAATAAATAAATAGATAAATAAATAGCGAAAAAATAATTTTGCATGAAAGTTTTAATAAAAGAGAGTTTACAACTGATCCCCCCTCAAACTGGGTACAATTTTCAGAGAATATCTAAAATAGGAAAAAATGTAAATAGCCGAGAAGAGGAGCAAAAAGATAAACTTATTAAAACTAGTTTATTATCTCCCTTTATGAAGTTCGCAAGGCTCTTATTAAAGAGAGAACTGTGTTTAACTGTGGGTTAAATATCAGGGTTGACTAAGCTCTCTTGCCTTGAGGTGGCAACTAGGCTATGAGAATGAAATTTTTTAATTCAAAATCAGCCCGAATAGAGATGGCGCCAGATACCACAGATGATATGGCAGTAGTTCGTGTAGTTCTCCTACGAACCTAATGGGATATGGGACTTGCGACGTCATGATGTACTTTTTACGTGACTATTCAGACACTAAATATGTGCAGACGTCGAAATATGTAGTCAGGTTAAGCTGAAGATCGTAAGTAAACATAAGAGAGCACTTTAGATATTTATAAGAAAACTTAGACATTCCTTATTATGAATACGATTAAGTATGCAATAGAGATTTGATCGAAGTAGGGTTTCGCAAATTTAAATTTGCGCTATGAAGCAAGTGAATTACAAAGTGCGCTTCAGAAGTTTTGAGAATAAAGACATTCGCTTATTTCATAACAACACAAAACTTTCTTTCAAAGTATGAAGGTGTCTAGGATCCTCTTCATACCCTCTTTTATGTCATCCATGTGCCTAAAACGTTTATCTATAAGCAGTCTTGATCCTTTCATAGGTTTCAGAAAAGCTTGCTTGTTAATCTCGGCAAAACGTCGCAGAAACTTATGAAATGAGCAACTTATGAAAATGAGCATGGATTAAGGATTTGACGCTGTGACGAGGGTCCTGGATACCTTCACTTTGGTAGGCTAAGAAGATGTTTTCAAGAAGTGACGGAAGCACTACAAAAAAACATTGAAGTCGAAGCATGCTACTTTGAAGGAATTTTGTAATGTTTTGAAACAAACAAATATCTCTCCTGAAAATTTCTAAAAAGCTCTGGACTATACCTTGTATGTTAATGATCGCCGATGACATAGATTTATTTTTAGCTTAATATAAAAAGCTACTGATATAAATAATAAAATACAAATATCTATAAGACGAGTTTAAAAGAAAGAAAGAAAAAGAATGCTAATGAATGAAGGAATTAAATAATACAAAAATACTAACCGGTTCCTGGTTTGAAAAGCACTGTTGGTGGTGGTAGAAGTTTGGAAGGCAGTTCTTGTCCATCGATACCCTTAATGGTAACTTTGATGTCAAAGTTATCGTAAGCATCAAGACGCAGATGTACTAAACTCTTAGATATGTCATATAAGAAGAGTCTGTCAAATGCCCAGAACATTTCGTGTTGTCCTCCCAAGATAGCGAAGGTGCCACCAAAAGTACAGTCGCCATCTTTGCGGCAAACGTCGAAGTTAACATCAGCTGATTGGCCGATCGTTCTCAACAAGAATCCAGCGAACACTCTGTCTTTTTCTTGGTATTTCTTCAAATGCACATCTAACTGAGGAATTGTCATTCCATGGAAGTTAAGGTTATCGTAATCGTAGTGCAGTTCGTGATAGTTAAAAGATTTGAAGCCAGTCGAATGTGCCTTTGTTTCAACATTATGGTTCTTTTCAGAGCTGAAAGGCATCAACGGTTTCTTGAGTTTGTTGATCTCACAGTTGGCTGAATTGTAGGGCAATCCTCGGTACTTCTGCAGGGCTTGCCAAACTGCCCAGATACGATCCGTGTTGGAATGGTGTAAGTAGAAGAGAGGATCATAAGAAGTGTAGTGAAGTGTCGACATGCCATATGGGCTGCTGCCTCCCACCCAGGAATGGATGGCGTTGTGTCCGATCTCAAACTGAATTTCAAAATCACAGAAGTCAGTCTGCTCTAGAGCAAATGCTATTTGACGGTAGAAGAATGACTGGTCACCTTGTTCTGGGTCATCAAACAGCTGGGGTCGTGGTGCCCGGGTTGTGTCAGTATTGGCAACATCGATATGGGCGTGGTGGAATGGGTTGTTTTCAGTTCTAGTGACCAACGTTGGTAAACTGGTAAAGGCTGTTGTCCAGTCCCAATAGGGAATACCAATTTTCGCGCCTTTAGCTTTCATAGCGTCTTCCATTTGTTTGACAAATAATCTATGCCAGTGAGGGAAGGTAACCATTCCGTGTTGGCAGCAGGCGTAGGCTGTTCCATTGGCGTAATGGCAACTCAGTGGCATGCCGTGGTAAGCAGCGATCTTCTGGTAGCCATTTTCGGTATGATCTGCTTGTACAGCGGACAGGGCTTCCCGCAAGTTGTCGATCTCAGATGGGGTCAAACTATTCACATTCTTCCTGACGACAGTTCCAACTTTGTGCTCGTCAATATGCTGAATAACAGCACCTAAGGGTACAAATATAAGAATTTATTAGTAGACGCCCGCAATTGAATATAAAGTTTTCATTTAACATAAAGATTTTGTAAAATATTTTCTGCATCTCCGAGAGAACAGAAATACACTGACGGAAGCATTTCAACATTTTTAATGGACTATCCATTCTGTAGCCGGAGATGTGGGCTAAGATTTGGAGACGGCAGAATTAAGCAAGTACAGAAATCTAATTACCTGAGAAGAGTTTTATTAAGCGACAGAAAATGTGACACCGAATTTCGAAGGTATAATGAAAGATGCCTTCCAAAGGCTAAACAAATAAAAGAAGCAGACAATTTTCGTTAGAAACAAAGAAAAAAAAAAGTTGAATTGCTATGCTTTTATCAGTCAATTTATACGGCAGTAAATGCTGGACAGTTCCCTTACAGATGAAAGTAACATTTGAGGTAATGGAGATGCAGTTCTTCGGATGGATACTGAGAATAACATGGACGGAGTATGTGAGCAACGAGGAAGTTTTAAAGAAAATGGCAACAAAAACAGTTGAAATATCTAAGATACATAATGAGGAAAGAATTTGACACTCACAGGACACACTGAAGTCATGAAGGGAAGAGGGAAGGAGCGAGTAATCTACCTGCCCGGATCGTGTAAATGGGTGGCAGAACAGTGGGTGGGAGGGATAGTAAAAATACAAATATTACTAAGAGTTACAACATGTATCAAAGGGTGGATAGACGTTTGAGTGGGGTCAACAGTTATCTAGCATAGCACAATGAGCGAGACTGTACCCCATAGCTGTGTATGCCACCAGTGCAGGGATGATGACACGGCATCGCTGGACGGAATGATTCCTAGACTGAAGTCAACGGCCAGGTAAGAGAGTTTTCCCGATGGAATCAACGACCGTGTCCGTGACTAAGGTGAGCATTCAAGTTGGCGGACATCGCCTGTTATTTGACCCGGAAAGAGATTGGCTATTCTAGGTCTACTTACACAAGACGCCCTCTCCCAACGGCTTTCAACCCAGATATGTGGATGGAATTGGTCAGGTCTTCAGTTGTACAGCGACCCTATGGCCATACCCGGGCATGGGAATAAGGATCACGACAATTTCTATAATCTCCAAGATCGCTTTCTGTTAATCTCTAGAAAGTATTATTTATCAGACAATTATATGGATTATCTTTAACATGAGATGAAAAAAAAATTATATTACCTTTGGCTGGTACGTAAATAAGAGATGGTTTAGGCAGTTTGCTAGCATCCAAACTTGTTCCATCAACGGCTATGATTTCTATTTCGAGATGAATCTTGCTGTCGTGTTCAAAGAGTGCTTCCATAGGTATGTGCATGTCTTTGAGGACATCAGTAATGTCCATTTTGTAGGTTCTATCAAAGTGCCATGGCATCTCGGTTTCACCGCCCAGTACAAACAAAACGCCGGCATTTTTGCATTCAGTTCCTTTACACACCTTCAAATGAACATCTGCTGATGTACGGATACCGTGCAATAAGAAAGCAGCAAAAACTCGGTCATGTGTTTTCTGTTTGTTGATGGCCGTTTCCAGTTGAGCAGTGTTCATTCCATGGAAATCAAGGTGGTCGTACTTGTAACCAAGGCTCTTATAATCGAAGAGTTTGCTAGGCGTAGAAACGGCTCTGCTGTGAGGATTCGGGTTCGACTCCCAGAAGAATGGTTTCATTGGGAATGACATTTGATCTAAGGCACAGTATGCTTTATCATGTGGCAAATTTCGGTATTGTTGAAGATCTTGCCAGATAACCCAAAGACGATCGACCTGAAATGAAAGAATAATATATAAATCGATATTATAGAAAAGACGATTCTCTGATTGAATACGTTTAACTACATACGGGTAGGTAATCTATCTATCTATCTATTCTATCTATCTATGTATACTTGTGTTGCTCATTATTGACTTACATGTGCTTGTACCGTTTAATGTACTAGAATTTTGTTGTTGAAATCTTCACAGTATTTAATATTGTTGAAGTTATCTCTAAAATTTGTTGTCGAGATTTACAAACTCTGCGTTTCGTTCAATTTCGCAAACCAACCGATGAAATATAAAAATGTGGGAATATTTTGTATGTTAAATAATAAAACATTTAATTTTTCAAAAAAAAAAATTAATAAAAATTTATTGTACTAAGCTACGCACCTTAGTAACATAGACTGTACTTTGTACCCCTGTACCTGTTTGAACTTCTCCCCAAAATTTGGTTTCGATCGGTCTATGTATGGCTATTTTAGAGTGTGATGGATGGACTGTGTAACAGAAGTCACAGAATTTTATATGTAGACAGATTGCAAAAGCCCAGACACACATGCGTACACAGACACATGGAGAAAAGAAAAAAAATTAATTCCTAAAAAATCGAATAATTATAAGATTTATTTGAATTTTCGGAAGTTATTCTGTAACAAATAAAAATAAAATTATAGAAATATTTTATGGTTTGTTATCGAATTAAAATATAGACACGCACAGGCAAACAAACGTTCACGGACAATTTGGATGAAACTTGAATAGACATCTGTGCAGTGTGGGCTAATTTTATCTGGCAACAACTCCCGAGTAGCAAGAAAAGAGTAAAAGCCGGAATGTGCGGCCCTTTGAAGGCATTTTTTATAACTCCTGTGTTTAAACTGAATATATTTTATAATAAATTTAGTATTTTAAATGGGCAACACATTTAGATTTAAAATTTAATTATCTTGCCATCAGTTACAATTAGTTACATAATCTTCTTCCTCACAGCCTTTCAAGGTCCTTTGTTGGACGCAGGCCTTCCTCAGATCATGGGGCGGAATGGATTATCACGATACCGCGTTTGCCCAATGCGTGTTGGCAGGAGCGGATGCGACACACCTGTGCGATCATGTCTCTTTTCGATTCATGATCAACCAATCGCTATTTTTGCGTAAGCGAAATCAACGAACCCGACTGGAATTTGAACACGGTTCTCCGATTTCTCATTCGGAGCCGTCATCCTTTACGCTCACCCTTCTAGGTATTGACCAGGATCGACGTTGCTTAACTTTTAACGTGATATGGTCGTAAGCTTAATTTTAATAAAACTTTCTAAAAGAGAAAAATGTAATATTTCATATGATTTGAAAATTGTAAATTAAATAAAGAAAACAAAAACAAAATGGCGACAAATGTAAAATAATTGAGGTTACCATTGAATGATGGACGTAAAAGATTGGATCAAAGGAGGAGAAAATCAAGCTGGACATGGCATATTTATGGTGACCACCAATCAGGTAATGGATAGAGTTATGGATCACTTCAAACTGTACTTCAAAGTCACAATAGTCTTCCTGTTCAAACATCAACATCACTTGTTTGTAGAGCAGAGATTCTCTTCCTTCTTTGGAAATAGAGAATAATTCTGGCTGAATGTCTCTCACAGTGAAGGTGTCTTCGTGTTCAATAAAGCCTCGCAGGAAAGGATTTTCAAGCACCGTATCAGTCCAGGCATCGTAGTAATCAGCATCACCCAAAAGTTTAGGTAGATGAGTTGATGGCATAGTCCAGTCCCAATAAGGAACGGCTACATTAGCGCCATGGCGACGCATGGCCTCTTCAAAGTGCAGTAGGTACACTCTGTGCCAATGTGGGAAGGTAGGCATACCGTGCAGGCAACAGGCATATTCAGGGGCTTCGGGTGTCGGGCACATTTTCGATCCATGGTAGCTAGCAATTGTCTGGAAGCCAAAATCGCTCTTATCTCCCTTGAGTCGGCGCAAAGCAGACATTAGATTCTTAATATCTCTTTCCTCAAGAGAAGTAATGTCTCGACGGATCTTGTTTAACGGAATAGCGACTTCAATATCGTGACCTATAGAACAAGAAAGCAAATAAGTTTATTGTTTATTATCATTAAAACGCAATCCACTTGTTCAATTATTTATTTAAAAAAAATCAAAGGCCGGAAATTGAATACGCAGTTTTGATAGAAGATGTAAAGTTACCTGCAGATGGAATGCGGATGATTGTTGGTTCTGGTAGAACATGGAATAATTCTGTTCCATTGTGAGCTATAATCTTCGACTTGATTGTGAAATGGGAGTCAGCTTCCAAGTGCATTTCTTTCAAAATGTTGGTAATTTCCATTCGGTAGAGACGGTCAAAAGCCCAAGGCATTTCAGCGCTTCCACCCAAAACAGAGAAATGGCTTCCTTCATGGCAGGCACCTTCATCGGAACAAACCTGAAAATCGGAAATAAAAAAACTAAAGGATCCTATAGTGACAAGACGTGACTACTTTCCCCTTAAAGGACATTATTTTTCAAACCAGGGGTGACATATAACACAATACTGTCAGTACTATACTATTTCCTGTTCGGAAAGAAACTCTCATGTGTCCACAATAATATCTCTAGTACAACCTATCACACACACACACACACACACACACATATATATATATATATATATATAAAGAAGTCGGAGTGAGATTTATGTTATAGCTTTCGCGAGTCTATGGGGAACACTTTCAATTCCATAGATTTCATAAAGTCGAATTGGAATGCCTGCTTGGTGTTTTTGGTCAACCAAAATGACAGGGTATTATAAAGTTGTATCAGATCAATTTTGAACATGTTCTGTCTTCATTATTAACTAACGTTTTAATTGATCTATTGGATTTTTTCTCTTGGATTATTCGATTATTATCGATTGTTTTTTCATAAGCCTTTGTGCCATTGAATAAATCTCTAAGGAAATATTAAGATATGGTTACCAGCATAAGGCAAGAGAGCAAAGTCTGTCCTGCTATTTAACCCATAACTGGAGGAAGATGGTTTTATGGCTTTTCCAATTGGATTAGCGCGAAATGAACGAAACAGAATCGACCGGAAATTTGAACTCGGTTCGCCGATTTCACCTTTCGCGCCGATAACCGCTACACTATCCGCTCATCCAATTTAAAAAAAAAAAGATAAAAATTAAAGAGAAATGAACTGAAACTTTGCCACAGGAACAACACTTCGTTTGTCTACCGATAAATATTTTTTGGGAATTTATTTCATAAATAATTTTGCTACGGCTAAATATACAGTTGAATGGCATAAGTAAAGAATCTTGGGGTACATTTTGTCTTAGCGGCGTCTCGCTAGAGATTGTCTTCTGTACAGACTGGGTTTCACTGATTGGGCGTTAAGTTTCACATGACCGGCTAAGCGCGGTACACACTAATTGGGGGAGAGGAAAGAGCGTTAGCCCAACAGAAGAATAATCAACTTACCTCAAATGTTGCATAAGCAGAACTACCGAATCCTTGAAGCAAAAATCCAACAAAAACGCGATCTTTCTGTTTCTCGTGTCGGATGTAAGATTCCAACTGAGGAATCGACATTCCGTTCATCTCCAACATGTCGTATTCGTAATGGAAGTGTTCTTTATAGTTGAATACGTCGGCCGGTTTGGAGTACTTTTCGGTTATTGGGTTCAAATTGTAGGGTGACCCAAATGAGAAGGGTTTCAGTGGCTCGTTCATCAACTCAAGGGCACAGTTTGACTCGTAAGCTGGAAGGCCACGGAATTTCTGCAGCTCTTGCCAGATAACCCAAAGACGGTCGACATTGGCGTGGTGCAAATAGAAAACGGGGTCATAAGCGGCATAATGTAAATGGTTCAGAGAATAAAGTTCCTTGCCTCCCACCCAAGAATGGATAGCGTTATGAACAATCTCGAATTGGATTTCGAAATCACAGTAATCTGTCTGTTCCAGGGCCAGAATAATGTTGTCAAAGAGCCAGGTCTGTTTTCCGAGAGCAGGCTGTTCAAACAAATGCTGATTCACATCTCGGGCAGTCATGGTTTCGGCGCTGATAAAGCTAATATGGCCGTGGTTAAAAGGATTAAATGTCTCAACGCCAGTGAAAGGATCAGTGTATTTCTCCGACGCAATCAAACTTGGAATTTCCTTCATTGGGTATGTCCAGTCCCAGTAAGGCACACCGACACTGGCGCCATGTCTGTTCAGAGCTTGTTCAAACTGGACCACATACAATCTGTGCCATTGAGGGAATGTAGCCATACCATGAACGCAGCAAGCATAACGACGTTTGTCTGCTTCGCTGATACATAAGGGAGGAAGAGCATGGAACGAAGCAATGGTTTCGAATCCACTTGGCGATTTATCTTTCTGCATACGTTTCAAAGCGTGTACTAAAGAATTAACTTCTTGCAAAGACAGACGATCAACACTCTTTCGCACCAAGTTTCCGTACACGGATGTTTCTGTGGAAACATTTACGGAAGCCTCTGAAAATAAGAATATATAACAATTTAAATTAGTATACACAATAACGAAGTTTGTTTTGAATGTGACAGTATTTTTATAACAGTGCAATACGAAATCATTTATGCAAAAGAGAAGGAATTAGCATTTGTTTTTCGACATGTCTTCCTGTAATATTTACGTATTTACCAAGGTTAGCTTGTTATAAATTGAACAAAGTAGCGTATTCAGTGAGAATTGAACCCACTGTAGTCGTAATAAATGGTGTGACCAAATTGTTGACAATTCAATATAGATTGATTTGATTTTAAATTCTTTCACTAAAATTTGTAAGGTAATATCAGGAAGGAGAGCAATCCTGACATTATTTGTTAGACTCGTTTTACGTAACTACCCACTCTGCTGAACATCAACCGAATGATACTGAAGTAATTATCTGGCCTAACAAACTATAAATAAATAAATAACAAAGTGTAAAAGCTGTCATCTTTATAGTTTAACAACGTTATTTTCCATTTCATTCACTAGTTGATTGTAGATCATTCATCAAGACTCAGACATTGGCACGCAACCGAGATATGTGAAGGGAGGCGATCAGGCGCTTAGCTACGCTGCAAATCTACACACTTTCAGGAGATTGATGATAAATTAGGGCATTGAGAGACGGGGGGGTCTCTCAATGCAATAATAATATCACCAATGCATACTACGTAGTTAAATTTTAAGCTCCTCCCAATATATCACGTGACTTATCCGTGGAAAACATGATCTTACCTTCTTTGGGAACAAAAATGATGGTCGGATCGGGGAAGATCTTTTGCATGATTCTGGAACCATTGACTGCTGTAACTTCGGTTATGACACGGAAATGGCTGTTTTGGTTGAGACCTAATTTTTTCAGACTGTCGGTGATCTCATAACGGAAAAGACGATCAAACCTCCAGGGCATCTCCGAGTTTCCTCCCAAAACTGAGAAAATACCAGCATAGTTTCCGCAGTTTTCTTCATCAGTACCAGTGGGAACACAAATGTAAATACGGACATCAGCGGACGCCTTAATTCCATGAAGCAAGAAGCCGGCAAAAACACGATCGTGTTCCTGTTTCTGTCGCAAGATCCTGTCTAACTGACGAATGCTGAGACCAGTGAAAGATAGAGTGTCGTATTTATAATGCAAGACGTTTTGGTAGTCAAAGACATCGCTTGGTCTGCTGTTGGTAAAGGTCAAACGATCATGGTTGGCCGTACTATTGCTGAATGGACGCATCGGTTGGTTCATCAGTGGCAAAGCGCAGTTGGCTTCGTTGAATGGCAATTTACGGTAACGTTGAAGCTCTTGCCAAATAGCCCACAAGCGATCCACGTTGCTATGGTGAAGGAAGAAAACAGGGTCGTAGGCAGCATAGTCAAGAGAAGACATGGAATGAGGATCGCGACCTCCTAGCCAAGAATGGATTGTGTTATGAAGAACCTCGAAATGCACCTCAAATTCGCAGAAATCTGTTTGTTCAAACGCAAAGAGCGCATGATCATGGAGATAGTTGTTATTAAAGAGCTCTGGTTGTGGATCACGGTCAGTTATGGCGCTTTCAAAGCTAATTTTTCCTTTGAAGAAAGGATTTTCCTCAATATGAAGAGTGCGAGAATTGTAGTAGGAGGCTTCGTTGATGAATTTTGGTAACGCATCGAATGGTTCTACCCAGTCCCAATAGGGTACAGCAACTCCAGAACCGTGAGCCAATAATTCGTCTTCGACTAGGGCTACGTAGAGACGATGCCAGTGTGGGAATGTAGGCATACCATGTAGACAGCATGTATAAACTGCGGAGCCATCTTCGTTGGGGCATTGAGCGGGAAGGCCATGGAATGCTGCGATTTGTTCGTATTTACCACCTTTAGCAATTTGTTTGAAAGCATTTCTCAAAGATTCTATCTCTCCAGCACTAAGGGTATCCAAGTTCTTTCTGATTCGGTTCGCGCTTGTGACAGGATTTATCCAGATTTTAGAATCCTTGTATTGACCTGAAATTAGAAAGAAAGTTATATGAATAGATGATGTACATACTAAACATGTTAATGATTAAAAAGGAGCTTTGGTCAAACTTTAATAGGTTACGATATTTCTTAAGACTATTTTAATGATGGTTACGTTAGGTAGGTGGATTTTACAAAATGTCATCGTTGTTGAGTTTAATGGTTAACCAAAATAGACAATACTCCACAATGAGGTGGCTATTAATACTAGTTTATACAGGGCATAAAAAGACGGCAAACGGGGAGAATCCGGTTTTAACTAGTTTTGACAGCCATGTCCGGACGTGACACGGGGCCCCTTTGTGTATATACTGACACGCGTTCGCCACACGCTATCCCTGTTCAAGATTCTTATATGAAAAACGTGATATCGGTAGGTCCAGAATCCGCTCCCGATCATTAATCGGATGCTGGCTACCAACCTGCAGCTCATCAACCCTCATCACAAGGATGAAGCTGTTGGTCGCTTGAAAGGTTGTTATCAAAGTGACTCAGGTGCCTCATCTACCCTGGTTTTGAAATCAGAGTGATCTTTCTCTTAGAAAGACGGCCAACCAGGGCTGATGAGCTCTGTCTACCTGTACTCCAAGACGTCACTGAATTATGTTATATCAATGGATCCTCAATAAACATCCTTGATTTAGAGAAAACTGTTCCTATAAGATGCATATTAAATCTAAAATCAATAAAAAAAACATGTTATTTATCTATTACCTATTAATATGACGTACTTTTCATTTAAAAAACATTAGCGAGTTAATACTTACCAAGACCTGGTTGATATACAACTGTTGGACTGAGTTTTACATCTACAGTTTCGCCTTTCATATCAGTAACAGTATATTCAATATGGTACTTGTCGGTGTAATGAAGATTCATTTCGTCCATAACGTGGGTTATGTCGGATTTGAAGGCTCGGTCATATTTCCAGGGCATTTCGTTTTCACTTCCCAACACGTAGAATTCGCCGGCTTTCATTTTTTTATCACTTGCATCGTCTTTAATATAATACTGAACGAGAAGAGATTTCTTAAGACCCTCAAGCATAAAAGTGACAAACACTCGGTTTTTCGCCTTTCGTCTGTTGATTTCTCTCGACAACTGTGGGATAGACAGACCGTTCAATTCTAATGTGTCGTATTCGTAGTGGAAAGATTTCTTGTAATCAAATACGTCGAAAGGAACAGAATGCTCACGAGTTTGTGCGTCAGAGTTGATATCACTTGACAGACTGAATGGCGACATTGGCCGACGGAGCATTTCAATAGCACAGTTGGCTGAATTGTAGGACTTTCCTCGGAATTTCTGCAGTGCTTGCCATGTAGCCCAGATCCTGTCGACATTCGAATGATGTAGCATGAAAATCGGATCAAAGGCAGAATACTCAAGGGATGACATTGAGTAGGGCTCTGTTCCACCGACCAGGGCATGGATGTGATTATGTGCGATTTCGAACTGGACTTCAAAGTCACAGAAGTTTTCTTGTTCCAACGCATAAAATATCTCATCAGCAAGGTGAGTATAATGTCCGAATTCAGGTTGTTCAAAAAGTGTTGGTGATGGTGCTCGACTTGTTTTAGCGTTGACCTCATCAATGGCACCACTGAAGAACGGATTTGGATGTGCCTCTCCTTTTGCATCTGTGTATTGTTCTTCGACTACAAGCGCGGGAAGGGCATGAATAGGACGAGTCCAGTCCCAGTAAGGAACACCTCCATGATAACCATTTCGTCTCAATCCGTTTTCGAAGTTCACAGTGAGTAACCTATGCCAATGAGGGAACGTGGCCATACCATGTTGACAGCAGGCATATTTGACAGCAGCGTCAGGACTAGGGCACCATTTAGTAGATCCGTGGAAAGCAGCCACTTGTTGGTAACCAGTATTGGTTTTATCAGTGGCAAAAGCAGCCAATGCTGTTCGGAGTTCGTTCATTTCCTGCTTGGTCATACTGGCAACATCTTTTCTGGATCGGTGGGTCTCATCGAATTTCACACTTTCCACTGCAGAGAGAAAAATACATTTAAATTAATTCTCATCTATTAAATAAAAGGAATTTGAAGTAACTTGATAGAATGAAAAATACTTTATTTGACGTCGTATTTACAAATTTTACTGAGAGACAGAAGTGTAAATGGGATTTCGTTGTTTTGTCTCCTTACATTAATTGGTTCTTTTTGCATTAGTTTTAGATTTAAATATTGTTCAGTGATTTCTAATTGGCCTCAATCGACCTTTTGTGGCAAGTATCTGCGCGGAATGTAGATATAGAAAATAAATTTACCTAATTGCTTAATGACTTGTTTAATGCTAGAGAATAGAGATTCATTTCTCTGTAAAATTATCTGGCTCTGAGGCGTTCATCGTTTCAAGTCACACTTTAAGCTGTTTTCTTGGCTCAAGATCTGATTATACGGAGTGCGGCAGAAATACCTCCCACATATAATTATCAAAATTACCAACCATATAAGGATAAGACATTAGTGGTAATTGTGTCCTCACTCAGCTAATGTCTTACCATTATGTGAGAAGCATTTCTGGGGTGGGTATATGTGTGGGAAGTATTTTTGTTGCACTCGGTATAATCATCGGCAGCACCAATGCATTTTATATGATCAACTATTTACATGTAAAATCGATGCGTACCATTTACCAAGTTGATTTCATTTTTCATTTTTCTTTAATTTATTTTCATAAATACAATTTATAAGGAGGTAAGCAAGGAAGGCTTTTAAGATATGGTCACAAAGATTCTGTTTCCGTCTATGTTAGTTTTATTGTTGATTAACCGAAGAACAACTGAATGAAAATTATCCGTTATTTATTTAATGTCGGCATACTTATTTCTACCCAAGTTTCCCGGCACCACCCTTTCTTAAATATATACAATAATGAAAATGATAATGTTATTCCCATCGATCTCATCAAAAGTAAAAGTTACTTTACCTCTTGCAGGAGCGTAAATGACTATTGGAGCCGGAATTATTGTGGATGGCAGAGCTGTACCATTCACGTCTTTAATGTCGACACGCAGAGTGTAATCTCCAAATTTATCTACTCCAAGAGCAGCCAAGGCAGATGTGATGTCATGTTTATAGACGCGATCAAATCTCCACGACATTTCTTTGCTGCCACCAAGTATAGCAATTGAACCGGCCATATATTCGTTGCCTCCGGCCACAACATAGAGATCAACATTGGCAGAGGTATGGATTCCCATGAGAAGGAAACCGGCAAATACACGGTCCTTAGCTTCGTTCTCCTCGATGTGATGCTGCAGTTCGCGGATGGACATGCCTCCAAAGAACAGGGTGTCGTATGTATACTTCAGTTCTGTTCGGTAATCGTACACATCGGTGGGAATTGAATGCGAATGAGTCAGTTCATCATTATTAAGTGGTGGTTGGAAAGCGAAGGGTTTCAATGGTTGATGGACATCTGAACTTGCGCAGTGAGCTTTGTATGGTAGTCCTCTTTGGATCTGAAGTGCTTGCCAAATTGCCCACAGTCTGTCGACTTGCGAGTGATGGAGCCAAAACATTGGGTCAAATGAAGTGTAATGCAAGGTGGACATTGAGTATGGCTCGTTGCCTCCGACCCAAGCGTGGATGGCGTTGTGGGTGACTTCAAATTGCACTTCAAAGTCACAGAAATCATGTTGTTCAAAGGCCAACAGCATGCCGTCAAAGAGATAACCATGATCACCAACAGTTGGTTTTTTAAACAATCTAAAAATAAAAAATAATATAACATCAAATCAGCAATGTGAATTTTTTTTTTTGTAAATGTTGCTATGAGATAAAAATTTAATTGAAATTTCAGGATAACAAAAATTTAATTTTTCTTGAAATTCTAAAACAGGAGAAGAATTCGTCAAATGATTTTATCGTTTTCCAATTTCAAATGAACTGAATTAAAATTTTATTTTATTTTAAGACGCAGAATAATTAAAGTGTTATAGATTCACTTTCAACTATTTAAAAGAAACAACAGGAATTTATAGATTTAAAAAAAATCATATCTCGACTGTTAATTTTCTGTTTTCAACTTTAACAGATTAAATAATTCCCCGTTCATCACATTCTTCCAACTGATATCTATCTATGAGAAAAACATAGGCAGATAGAGAGATATTTTATATTTTTATATTTTAAAATATTTAAATGCAAGAAAATTGGTTGCGGGAGAAATAGAGACGAATCTTAAAATGTTTTACGGCTTGCAATTGATTTTTACGGCTACACTTTGTGGGTTATTTAAAGCCGAAAGATATTTTCGATTGTAAGAATAATTATCTTTTGCGAGTGAAGATTGCATTAACAATGTTTTGAGAATAATATTAATTTTTTGCGTCTATTTAGCCCATAACTGGGAGGATGAGATGAATTCATTCAGTTTCCTAAGGATATTTGTGCGTAAATGAATTTAACGAACTCGACTTGAACTCAAACTCGCTACTCCGACATCTACTTCTAAGCCGCCATCCGTTACACCACCCGCACAATATGACGAAACCGAAGCAGAATTTTTATAAGAACAAAGAAAATAATGTTTGCAAACAGCCACAATAATAGAAACTCAAAAATTAAAATCCGATCTTCTATTCGTATATAATAATTTACATATCGTAATGCTCACCTAACACATATGAAAATACTTTTATTTTTTCTGGGAAATGTGTTCAGTATAAAGTTTTTCGAAAAGACCTACATTACATAGGATTCATACAAACCTTTCGTCAATCTTTCTTGCAGTAAATACATTGGCCTTCAAGAAGTCAATAGGTGCCCGGAAGAATGGATTGGGTTTAGTCTCCTTTGTGTAAGGATCGACGTAATTTTCGTCAGCAAGGAGATGTGGAATGGAATCAAGAGGTTTGGTCCAGTCCCAATAGGGAACACCAATGGGAGAGCCACGAGCTGCTAATGCGTCTTCAAACTGAACGATTACCAATCGGTGCCAGTGGGGGAAGGTTGCCATACCATGCGCACAGCAGGCTACACGGTTAAGGGCGTCTGGTCGGGGACATTTTGCCGGAAGACCGTGGAATTCGGCCAGGGCTTGGTAACCATTGATGGATTTGTCAGCCATAAAACGTTCCATGGCCACCCTGAGTTTGTATTCCTCTTCGATTGTCAATCTGTTAATGTCCTTTCGAGTTTTCAGGCTGGTTTCATCAACGTCTCGCATTTCAGCTATATTTTTAAATGAAAAATAGAAAGAAACAATGCAGTTTTAATGTTTATTGCAATCAAAAATTATCCCTAAATGCTATATTGAGAGCGAAAGTTAATTTCAGCATTAAAATCTGACACTATTTAAATTAGCTGGTCCGCTCTTAAAAATGTGAGGAATATTTCTTTTAAAAGTTTTTATCGATTAGCATTCATTAGTACTTTTGTCAAAATAGAAAAATAATATTTTATCGTTTTAGAAGAGGTTATAAAAATTATAAAGAGTTATATGTACTTTGATTTTATTTACAAACGTCGTTTTTATCATTGATAACTGCTTACATTACGGGTTGATTGAAAAGATAGAATCAGTAGTATGTAGTTAATCACTGAGGTAAGGGCAGTTTAACCTTGATATTTGCAAATAAAAACAATGTACAAATAACTCTTTAAAAAAGTCAAGAATCACTTTGGCATTGTATTTATTTTATGAACATAACTACCACACTTTTAAAATGATTAAAAATCCAGTTTTTGTATTTTGACAAATATCGTGGGTAGACGATGGCATAATGAATGTTAATCTACAAAACCCCCCCTCCAAAAAAAAAAGATTTCCTGTTATTATGAAGTGGGGCAGTTAGTTCAGGTAGTGCCTAAATCGATTTTTGTTCAATAATTAAACTCATACTTACGATCATGATAGTCTTTGGCCGGGATGTAGGAAACAATCGGTTTTGGAATGATATCATCTGGCATAAGAGTTCCGTTGATTGCAGTTACTATGGCTTGGACGTAGTAATCTGCGTCCAAAAAGACAAGCCCAACGCATGAACTTTGTCAGTAATTTCATACAGATAAGGATAAGCGAAATGCCATGGCATCTCATGTTTGCCGCCAAGGATGAAAAATTCTCCGGCATAATTGTCACAGTTATCACTATGTCGGCCATCTTTGTTTGGAATACAAATGCTGATTCGGACATTTGCTGATGTCTTGATACCTCCCAATCTGAAGTTGGCGAACGCCCTGGCTTTAGATTTACGTTGTTTCAGCAGATTATCCAACTCTTCAATGCTCATTCCATTCAAAGTGAGGTCATCGTATTCATATCCCAATTGATCGTATTCGAACACGCTACTGGGTTTGGCGTTGTCCTTGGTCAAGGCGATCGGATTTGTTTCACGACCAAACGGTTCCATTGGTTCGTGGAAAAGGTTCAAACCGCAATTGGCTCTGGTTGGAAGTCCTCTATGCTTTTGAAGGGCTTGCCACAAAGCAAACTGTCGTTCTACATTGGAATGATGCAAGAAGAAGATAGGATCATAAGATGTGTATTCCAGACTGGACATAGAGTGAGTTATTCTGCCTCCGACCAAATAGTGGATAGGGTTATGGGCGACTTCAAACTGAACTTCGAAATGACAGAAATCTTCATGTTCCAAAGCGTTAAGCACTCCTTCTAAAAGAAAGTTTTCGTGGCCTTTCTTAGAAGCATCATAAAGTCTAGCATCAACAGCTCTTGCTGTAACTTTATGTTCAAATTTGATTTCGCCAGAATAGAAAACATTTTTCTTCGCCTTTTTACCACTTGGGTCGATAAACAATGGATGCTGTACAAGCTCTGGAAGGTGTGTCATGGGTTTGGTCCAATCCCAATAAGGAACACCAAGTTTGGAACCGTGAGAAGCCATTGCTTGTTCGAACTGCACAATGTAGAGTCTATGCCACATGGGGAATGAAGGCATGCCATGCAGACAGCACACAATGGTTGAACCATCAGCAGCTTTACAGTCGGCTGGTTCTCCGTGGTAGGCAGAAATGGCCTGGTAACCTGTGGGTCCATCATCGTCTTGCATACTACGCAGCGCTACTTGCAGTTCGAGAATCTCAGTTGAGGTCAGGTGGTCGACATTTTACGTACAAATTTGCCTGTAAATAAAATTTAGAAATTAATATGATCGTTTATATTATAGACATGAAAATTAAGTTTTATCAAGAGAGAAAAAGAAAACAAAATAAAAAGAAAAAGAATAACTTACTAGATGCTGTGACGGCGTACACGAACCATAACTGAAAAGAGATAAGAAAAATATTTTAGAAGAATATTTCGATTGGCTCACCGGAAAAAAAATCATTTCATTCTATCGTATGTTTTTTTTTATAGACTGTTTCAAATAATTTTATGAGGTGTCTTGACGAAATGTTCACAGAAATGTTATTTATTATTTATTTAAAGTTTTAGATTAGGCACTCCCAGTCTCTGGAAAATAGTTTTATTTCAGATGATGTTTTAGGTGCAGCGTCTAAATTGCTGCATCCTCCTCTCCAGTGCACAAAACATGGGTAGGTAGATATGGAGGAGCGACTGTTACTCCTCGCAGTATGTTCGCAGTAAATCGCTGAAAAGATCCAATGGAAAAATAAATATCGATAACATGGTTTCAGTGTCGACACAAGACTTCCGATACTGTGTCGATTTAACGCTTTCGGTGAAGACAGTTTTCGGACAAATGACAGCCGCTATTATGAACCGGGGTCATTTTCTCCAAACACTTTAACAAGAAAAACACAATGAGAAAGAAAATAAAGAATTCGATGCTTGAATCTTAAGTCAATTTATGTCATTAAAGTAAAATAAAAAGTTAAAATGCAAAATTTACGCACACCGTCAAAAACTAAGCGAAAAAACATTTAAGAAATGTAATTCCTTTGGTTATATTTTCTGTATGTGTAATTTACAGAAACTGAAGGAATTCCTGGATAAAAGTAGGAAAAGAAAGCGAGAAGAAAGGACTAACCATTAATTGTAAGAAGACAGAATATATGGCCGTTAACAATAGGATCTAACTATCCTGGAAGTGTCTTAACGGAAAATGCGTCGCAGAAATCCTAATATCGCATTGGAATAGCGAAAGATGCCCCCCAAAAGCTAAACGAAGTATCAAGACAGGAATTTTTTGTTATAAACTAAAAAAAAGATTACTGAACTGATGTGGAATATCACCTCCCCTATATGTCAGAGAACGTTATGCAATTACCTCACAGATGAAGAGAGACCACAAAGATATGGTTCCACAGAAGGATTCTGAGAATATAATGGACAGAGCTTGAGAGCAGCAAGGAAGTTTTTAAGAAAATGGCAACAATAACGGATACTTGTAATTAGGAAGAGTTCTAAATTTCTGGGATACATAGAAGGGCTTGGAGAATTTGACACTTACAACAGGACATACGGAAGGGAAACAGCGAATAACCTACTTAAAGAGCTTGGGTCAATTGACGGCAAAAAAGGGAGTGAGAGGAATAGTAAGGAGAAAACATTGATTAAAACCCTGAAAGAGAGGAATTTATGGAGAGCTATCATCACCAACGTCCTGAAGGGGGGGCATATAAATAGGCATTAATGTACACACAAGCACATGCGCACAAACATTATACACGCCCTTTGACTGAGTTTGAAATAAGACATTGAAATAATGTATTTTCATCCAATTCAATCTGGACAACCTCCACCTTGGGATGAGCAATAAAATCAGTTGGAGACAAAATAAATAAATAAAATAAAAACTAAAAAATAAGATAATTGTAAAGATGTAATTGAACTTTTTGGAAATTATTCGATGATAAATGAATTATTTTTTAAAAATTAAAAAAAATTGATATATATAGTTTTAGCTCTGTCATTGAATTAAAATATACGTACTCACACGCAAATGTACATACACACTCAAACACACACACACACACAACCACAATTTGAATGAAATTGAAATGGACGTCGGTGTCATAAAGGCTAATTTATCTTTCTGTCTGGCAAAAACCTCCTTGGTAACCAGGAAAAGCGTATAAACTGAACTGGCTCTTTGAAATTATTTATTTTATGATTCCCTTATCTAAACTGAATATATATTTCCGATAAATGTAATATTTTATCTAGCTAAGTAGGTAATATAGAAGGACAGAGTGGGTCCTATAGCTTTGGGTGGCAACCAGTCTAGGAGAAGGAAACTCTGAATTCAAACTACCTGCTTGCCATTCTACCTTAAATGTTATGGTTGAACCACAATTGCGAGATGGAGGGGACGAGTGACCACAGCAGTGTAACATGCGCTGAATAAAATGAATGCAATATTTTAAACGGGCAAAGAATTTAAATTTGAAAATTATCTTGCCATCAACGAAGCGACAGGCGCTAAATTAATTTCTAAAGATTGTAATAGCTGCGAAAAATTATTTGACTTGACCTGAGGGAGCTGCAATTTGATTTTTTAGCAGGAGTTATAAAAAAAATTGTGAAAACAGAAAAAGCTTTAGAAACGCCAAACATTTCAGAAAGGGTCTTAAAGCTATAAAAGTAAGTTAACATAATGACAAGTCGACGGAAGATAAGATTCAGCAAAAATAAGGAAAACGTTTGCAATAATCAAATAAAGTGTTGAAAATAAAGAAATCTGTTAAGTCGAGTAAATAAAAAGTCGAGAGAAAATTGAAAAGTTCTTACCGTGGCTACGAACGCCAGGAAGAGGAAACTAGTTCTGTTTGAACCCCCCATGGTTCTTCAACCTGGGTTACGCTGAAAGGTTCTGTTGTGAAATTGTCAATTCGAAGCTGCTTTTATAGCAACGAGTGATCAATTAGACATCTGGAATTTAACTGATCGACTTAACTTGACACCGAATCACGTGATTCGACAACAATGTTGATACATAATGCCGAACATATTTTTTTTTGTTTTACTTTTGTTTTTTAAACTTTTGCTTTTTGCATTTAATTCTCAAATGTATTTTAGGGTCAAAGAGAAACGAGAAAATAGATTTTTCAGGACATTTTTTTTTATCTTTTTTTTTTTCAAAAAAAATATTGATGGATGCAAATTATTTTATCTTGTCACGTACACCATAAAAAAAAAATTCGAACTTAAATTGTTTTAAAATGTTTTAGTGTATTTTTTATAATTTCAAAATAACTAACGTTAGACACAATCAACAAGAAATCATTTCACGAACTAAGTAAAATCCAGGATTAAAAAAAAAAAATGACTACTGATTTATTAATTTTATTTTAATTGTACTTAATAATTTTATATTAATTTTATTTATTTTAATGTTTTTATTCAAATAAATTTTCTTATAATAATGGATGGCCGCTCATATCCTGTCTACTATGGTGGCTAGCAAATCCCTGCTGCAGATGCCTGCTCAGGCACATTTGTGTTTGTTCAACACTCGCAGAGGATAACAGTGGTTTATACTATAATTCTCTTATAACCTACATATATAAAACACTGTGTGTATTTTTTGGGTAACGCTTTTCACAAAGCGAACAGATACTATACTCTCATATGCTATCTACCCCCCCCCCATTGACGACAGAAGATGGTCCGTTTAACATGGGGTACCCAAACGCATACATTTGGTCCGGACCCACGGCAACTGGCGTTGGTATTCAGCAATTCTCTTTTTAGTGCAGTGATATGTCTTCTTTAATAGCTTAATTCTAACCTTTTTATCATTTTCAGAACCTTTTTTTTTTATTAATGTTAAATGTGTTTGATCTCTCTCTCTCTCTCTCTCTCTCTCTCTCTCTCTCTCTCATGTTATTATTCTACAGTTCGGACCATTTTTCTAAAAAAACGATTACAAATACTATAAGCTTTAACCATAGAAAACAAATGAGCTAACTTCAATAAAAATACTATTCAATTTAGGTACGAACATACGAAACGTATTTTTACAGCCAAAAAAAAAAAGAAAATAAAATAATAACTACACTACACAACAAAATAACCCGTGAAGACTCACTAAGTGTCATACCCGACATGATACCCTTCATATATGAAGACGCGACACAAGAAAACCGCCAAAGAAGCCCAATGCATATACATACACAACTTAATTACAAAAATACAGACACGACTTTATTACAAAAATACAGACACAAACTTATTACAAAAATACAAACACAACCTTATTACAATGACTTATGAAGCCGAAAACATTCAGAAGACATTGGACAACTAGAAAGACGGTCCAAACTATAGTAAAAATGGATAAAAAATTTAAACGGAGAACTTTCGTTAGTCTTAAAACAAACCCCGCTTAAATCAGAAATTGTTGCCAAAATATAATCCATTGATTTATCTCTCTATCTAGTATATTTCTATAAAAGAGTTCTCAGTTTTAAATACTCTTCAAAAATCTTTTAAACAAAAAAATAACCTTTTGTTTTAAATTTAGTTATTCCTACATAAACATTTTTCAAAATAGACGCTTGTTCATCTTGGACGCTCTCAAGATTCATTTTTTCAAATGGTATGTGTTAGCGCTCTGACAACTCGAAATAATTTCATTCCTTTTATTTATTAAATCATTCACCTTTTTGTATTCTATAATTTTCAGTTTCTCCTCTATGCATACAATTATCCATACAGGCAATCGTAAGTTCAATGCTAACAGTTTCTCATATCGCACTTCTCGATTGTGGAACTCTTTCCGAATTTTTGCTTTCCTGTCAACTTTGATCTTCAAAAATTTAAATGCAATGTCAATCGTTGTCTTCTTAATTGCTGCACTTTTAATGTTCTCTCTCCTGAATAATGTTTTCCTTATTCTCATATTAACTCATACTTGCGTCTTAGTGGCTTTATTGCCTTGCTTGGGGTGAAATGATTTAAAAAATACATATTTTGTTATTTCTGCCTCTGCTTCTGTTTCACTCTCACTTTTTAACTCTATAATTCGTTCATGCTTTGAATATTGTTGTCACATATGGCCCGGGGCCCCAGCTGTATATTTAGAAATTCCTGATAAAATCCAAAGATGAATCAGCAATATTATCGGTCCTGACCTGACGTTCC